GAACACGCCGCAGACGCGCAGCAGCACCTTCTCTCCGAGTCCGAGCGGCGGCTCTGCTGCGACGCCATGCACGATACACAAGTGAGGGTCTCGGCGCGTGCAGCGCTCCGTCGCGGCTGCCCTCGCCGCCGTCCGTTTCGGCTTCGAGGAGGAGTACGACGAGCCGCGCACCGGCTACTCGCTCGACCTGGCGCTGCCCTCTTCACGCATCGCGATCGAGGTGGACGGCCCGACTCACTTCCTGCTGCCCGACGGCCGGGGTGTGCGCAAACCCAACGGGCACACGCTCCTCAAGCGGCGCCTCCTCGCGGCGGCCGGCTGGCGGGTGATCAGCGTCCCGTTCTTCGCGTGGGACGGCTTGCGTTCGGCCGGTGAGCGGCAAGCCTACCTGGAGTGGGTGGTCGCCTCGCAATAGTAGTCTACTCTTGTACCACCGAGCGCGGCCCCCCCAGAGAAACGCTGTGTGAGAGAGAGCCCGCGGGCGCGGCGACAACATATCTCATATGTGTAGAGCCGTACTGCAGTCCGTGTTTACAAGTTGCGGGACATCTTTCTTCTTACATCAGACTTGTGTGAGGAGAGTGAGGTACACCGCACGTACTCGTACTGTGGTGCCCCAAAACAGCCAACACGCAACAGGGTTCGAGGGTGTACGCACTCCTTCAGCTCTCATGAAGGGCGGCGGGCCGTGTCCGGAGAAGGTGCCGGCCGCGGCGCCCTCGCCCCTCCCTCCCCCCACCCCCCCTTCCCCCCCTCCAGATCGTCTTCCCCCCTCCGCCCGCCTCCCTTCCCGCCTGCCTCCACAGCCCTTTTCGATCGCGCGCAGGCCCGCGTCGCCATCTCCGGCATGCCGGCAGCCCACTTTACCATCGCCTCCTCGGTCGCTGCCGCTTCCCTCGCAGTACGAGGTCGGCGTACCGTGTGCGCGTACCTGCTCGAAGGCCTATCCTCCTCGCCATGGCCTGCGGCGCCTCCTGGCCGACCGCGGCGAGCGGAAAGGGGGCGACGTGCTGTGCAGAATACTTCAACATGTCAGGACTGCGCTCTGGCCTTTGTCTACTACTGCTGCCTTGCTTGGTTGCTGCTAACGGTTGCGTTTCCAGTCCGACGCCAACGGCGCCTTCAAGCTTCGAGCACAGATGGTGGAAGGGGGGAACAGGCAGCACCGGCTCTTTTACCGACGTGAAAATCGCGGACCACGATCCGTGTGATCCATGTGTAGCAACCAAGAATGCTAAGAGTTGCCCATCAGCCATGTCATATCCACGATTTGCTTCGAGGGCTGCTCGAAACCACTCTCTCTTCAGCATTTTCCGGCAGCACTACATGCGTTTGCTCGACTTCGAGACGTTCGGCGGCTTCGGGGACGGCGTCCGCAGAATTCTTCGGCAGGCGGCGGACCAGCTGAGTAACAAACTTATCTTTCGCACGCTCAGCACCTCGATGAGGTCACATGGACCACCAAGAACTGGCACGGGCTGCAGATGCAGCGCTTGTCTGTCGTTCTCCACACCGCCGTGGCGTGGCAGACGGTGAACGAGCTAGCGTGCGGGGACAGCGGCATTGTGCACGGAGCTAAGTGCATTGCCGTTCTTAACGGAGTCGCTTAGGCGGCTCCGGTGGTGTGCCGGTGATAGTACTAGCTTGGTGATAACAAGGCTGTGAAGGTGTGATAGTACTAGCTTATTACCTTGGACACGCGATTGGACAGAATTTAAACAAAAGAACTCTCTCTCACAGCAGACAGGCTCGACACAGGTGCGAACTGGCGCGAGCTTGGTGTGCCGGTGTGCCGGTGATAGTACTTCTCAATAACAAGGCTGTGAAGAGGGTCGCTCGTCGAATGCGAGCCAGTTCGCTCGCGACGCCGACGCCGACGCCGCCGCCGGAACGACCGCGGCGGCCGGTCGAGCGGCCGCCCCGGCCAGCGGCCGTATCGAGCCTGCCCGTCGCGAAGGTGCGGACCTCACGCGCCCCACCGGCCGCCCGCGCCGCCGCGCCCACGTCGCTCTCTCGAAGCCGAGCGCCACGCCGCTACGACTCCCATCGCGACGACTCCCGTGCTCGCTCCTGGCGCAGGCGATCGACTCCTGACACCCATCGAGCGGATGGGCGCGTTCCCGCCGCGACCCGGTACTCTCGAACGACTTTTGAGGGCAAAAGGTGCCGCCCGAGCCCATTCCCGCCGCCCGCCGCCCGAGATCAGCTGCCACCGGCCAGCGCGCGCGCGGAGACCTGCCGCGAGCGCCTCCGTGGCCCTAGCTGGGGTGATTAGCAAGCGCCTC